AGGACTCTTTTACTATTGGCAATGATACTCAAAGCACTAGGACCACATCAATATTATGATAGTGATGATGAATATACTCCTGACAGGGTGCCACTCTTGAAGAATGCTCCACCTCAATATGTTGTTGTTGATCCAGGATATGCACATGGAAATGAAACATGGAATAGGGTAAGTGGCAAGGTAAACTAGATTGGAATTCTTTTCTTGATCTTAACTTTCTTATTTGAGTCGTCACGGATTTTCTTTATGATTTAGTTTCACTACTACTCTGTTTAAGTACGTATTATCATGCCCCAGTCTCATTGTTAGGTGGTTTGAATAGGCAAGTTGGCTTATAGACTGCTACGTCGGGTATACTGAACATTTGAAATGATGATTGTATAGATTGAATCTTTAGTACTTATGATAGCGATCTCAATTTTCTTCATTCATTTTTCGGAACTTTTTTTTGGAAATTAGAGCCTGAACCTCTAATGAGCTTTATGTTGCCATGATATTGATTTAATTTTAATGTTAACACATTCTGTAGTGGTCAAATACATTATGAAGTCGCTTTATGATTTCATTTAGTCACTATTTATTTGTTTCCTTGGTGAGACAAGTCCTGGTTATTGTTTTACTGTATAGTGGTCAGCATGTTAAATCTTAGCTCTAGCTTTGAACTTCTCTCCATTTAAATGAAAGTTTCCTTCTTTAATCAGTCAAATAGGTAAGGCCATAGCCTTCAATTTAACCTTGACGTCTGGATCCATGGAAAGTGAGGCAAGCAGTCCTTTTTTATGCCAATTGGTTTAGAAGATGACCTACACGCTGGAGACGGATTAACTATGAATCAATGGCTATGGGAGAAACAAGTGCTTATCGTGATCCTGGGGACAAATAAACCATTTTCACACAGTTGTGAGTAAACGTGTGTAATCATCATATATCATGTCTGTTTATCGTAAATAAAACACAATCTCTTGATGAACAACCCCCTCTATCTTCTGTTAAAAGTATCTACGAAGGTGGATCAATAGATATGAGCAAATATTCTTTTGTTTAAACTGGGTTCTCATCATTCATCCATTGTGGATACAAAATGGAGTTTTGGCGTCCAGTTCATTTACACAAAAACATCATTGGCCCATTTTTTTTCACGCTTTTATCTGTTTAAACTTCTTTGACTTGAGATTCTGATAAACTTCATTTCACCACTTGAACAAAGGCAGAAGAAAATGATATTTTGCAGGTATCTTTGCGTTAATTGCTTTAAAAATGGAAACAGAAAAAAATTGTTTTAAATTTGAGACAAAGATCCTTCTTTCTGTTTTATTATTAGTGTAATGTAATTAACACCTTTTTTCCAGATTGTCACAATAGCAAATAGAGTAATTACAAAAGTAAAGAAATGAAAGGATGTTTTTTAACTGATAGTATTTGTGAATGTCTTCCATTAGAGGAATTCGTGGTTTTGTATTATTTCAGTGCTATAGGAAGAATTATATACTTGTTATTCAAGATTCATACTTTATATGGAATACTAAGAAAGAACTAATGACCATAGCCATTAGAAAGTTGTAATTTTGTTAGGACTATGTAATTTTGTTATTTAGGAATCGATAGTTAACTATTTTTTATCAACACTGTAACAATGGTAGATGGAACAATTTATATGAACAGGATTTAATGTTATAATACAGGTTTTATGGGTGAAATTTAATCTCGTCAATGTTACATCCGTTATTTGAGATATTGTTTTTAAATCTTGTTCTTTACACCTCCTTATTAAATTAATGCATGACTATGAATATTATATAAATTTACATAATATATCAAACCTCACATAAATATATGATAGTTGTCCAATATCACCCAAGATCAATAAGATCGACAATCCTACTTATCATTGATCTTAACGAAACTCAAGCTATCGTCGGAACTTGCATCTAAATACTGTATGTATATAATTTTTTATTTTTATAATTACTTTTGTTTTTATTATTCTCTTGACCTATTTAGAAGAAAACAACTAGAGGAAATAAAAGTACGACAAAGTAAAAGTAATCTGAACATGGGACAAGGGAGCACCTTTAATCCTCCACCTTATGAATCCAAATCTCAATGGGAGCTTAACATTGTTAATATTGGAAATAACCAAAATCCTTCTCAAAGGACATGTGACTACACACGTAGGTAACCAAGGTCTAAAAGTATCCTTTAGCATTGGTACAGAAAAAGTAGTAGAAGTGAAGGTAACATAGGTAATCTCATTGGTACATAAATGGATCATGAAGATATCTGTATACTCTTTTGACTATTTCATGGGGCTTCTTCTTGTACCTTCATTCAGTCAAAATATATATAAAATGAAAAAAAAAATTAGGTAAGCACTAATTATTGCTCACTAAATCACATTTATTGTACTCTATATGTAGAGTCATGCATCCCAGGTGTCTTGTTTATTTTCTCGTCTCTCTACTTATGTAGTTTTCATGTGGTGTATTTGCTTCGTTCAGCTCCATCTCTTCTCGGATTAATACTATTTTTTTTTCATTTGTTCAACTTCATCTTTTTATCTCGAATCTTTTATGAATAAACATTTTTGTTCAATAAGTTAGGTTTGAAATTTTATTCTTATATTGTTTGAAATTTATATATATTTTTATGATGTTGTATTAGATTTTGAAATCTGGTTAAGAAAACTCATTGAATTTCAAAAATGTTAAGGAATTTACTGAATTTAAAAAGTCGGTTAAATAAATTACTTGATTTTGAAATTCGATTAAAATATTTATCAAATTTCGAAAAGGAATTCACTATATTTCGAAATTTGATGAACACTTCTATCAAATTTTTAAATCTGATAATCATTTTTCCTAAATTTCAAAACTCAGTGAACATTCCTACACAATTTAAAAATTCGATATTCATTTAATATTTTCTTTTCTATTTTCTTTTCTATTTTGTTTTATTTTATAATTTGTTTACTTGTTTTATTTTTAATAGTTTCTTCGAACGTTGGTGCTATGAAGAAATATGTTAGAGCAGCAACAAAGTTGTGGCATACGGGATGGAGAGCAAAGAAGAGCCGGGAGGTGCGGTGTCAGGTTAAAGAAGTGTGAGAGTAAAAATGGATAGGTGAAGTAATTATAAGGATAGAGAAAAGAAAATTTACTCTTGTTTGAAGGGTAGTTTTGGCATTAAAAGAATGCTTTGAAGGTGTACAGAGAAACCTTGGAGGTGCACGGAGAAAACCCCCTTTCATGTGAGTTTTGTGACACCATGACAATGGTTAAAGAAGTTATATATTTAATATTAGACTTAATACTTATTTTGATTCCTTGGTTAGTTTTATTCAAAATGGTCCTCTCTTTTCTGAGATGTTTATAGTGGTCCATTCTTTTATAAAAATGGTTTAATTTGATCAGTTTTGCAGACGGTGTTTAAGTTGCTAACAACATAATGTCTACCTTAGCTAATATTCAATGAGTTGTCCAATTTTAAAATACGTAGCAAGATGAGTCCAAATGACATGACAATGTTAAAAGTTCTTGACCTTAATTAAACTCTCTATTACAATTAAATTTATTTTACCTTAATTAAACCCCAATTCACTATCATGAAACCCTAACTAGAAACTTCTCTCCCCTATCTGTTTTCTTGGTTCTCGAACAGACCGACCCAGACTTAGGGTGTCCCTATGGGTTTCATAAGGTTCTTTCTTCTCTTTTGTCTTGGCTTGAAATCACAAATCCTGGTGGCATGAGAAGGACGAAGGCGATGCATTGATCGTTTCAGGTGAGACTCGTCGTCACGTAAAGAACTATGCTAGGTAGGAGGTTTCGTCTTCTCCTTTTTTGGTTAGGGGTCGTGATTGGCTAGAAGGGCATGCTCCCTTCTTCTTCTCTATTCTGGGTTGTTTTCGCAGGGAAGGAGAGGCATTTTCCAATGGCTTAGGCGTGACGCTTTCTTTGTGCAACTAATGCTTCAATGTCTTCACCGCGAGCTTCCGGGGGCAGGCGCGGCGTTTCGCGATGCAAGGAACTTGTCCTCCAGCGTCTTCACAACAGCAAGGGCTTGGATGAGATTAACGATTCAAATCAAGGTTGAATTTGGGTTCTGTTCTTGATTGTTCTCTATAGGTTTTGATCTCGCGATTTGGGACTAGGGTTTTGATTTGAGATTTTGGAATTTTTTTCATTTTGAGGGTGATGATTGCAGTTAATGATTTTTCAGTGGTGGTTTGGTTTGGAGTTTCCAATGGTGGTTTGGGTGCGAGCAGTGGTGGCCAACGACGTGGACTGATTGGTTTATCCTGTTGGCCTGGTTGCATAGTAGGGCTATAGATGAGACAAATGTGTTTAGTAAGAGGAAGATGAGAATCTATTAAGAATAAAATAAAATAAAAAGAAAAATATAAAAAGTGAAATAAAAACTTTTAACATTATCACGTCAAGTGGTCACGTATTTTAAAACTGGACAACTTATTTAATATTGGTTAAGGTGGACATTACACCGTTAGCAATTTAAACACCATTAGCGAAAATTATCAAAGTGAACAATTTTTACAAAAAAAAAGAACCACTTTGAACATCTCTAAAAATGAAAGACCACTTTGAACAAAACAAACTAATATAGGAATCAAAATAGGTATTAAACCTTAATATTATTTAAATGTGTGAATCGTATTTTGTATATATATTTATTTTAATTTTGTGTTTTTGAGTTAGTCTAACATTTTTTTACTCTGAGTGATATTTTTTTTTAGATATTATTCTTGATTATTGTTGTATTGAATTCTACATTTTCATAATTTCAAAATGACCATATAGTTTGCCAAATTTACTACTTTCTATCAATTCTCAGACAAATTTATTACATTTTTGTATAAAAATTCATAGATTTATCTTTTTTATATCTAGCTTAAACTTTTTGTAATTGAACTTATAGATCTAACTACAACTCATAAGTAAGTCCACAACGGTAGCTAATTAGAGATAATATATATTATAAATGTGCTCTAAGGGAGATTGAATTCATTCATTTATTTTTTCGATTTTAGAAATTTTCTTTATTTCTTCTTTTATCACAATTTTTAAATTGCTTATTTGTCTTGTCTTTGTTTTTTCTTTCTTCTTTGTCAATGGAGATCTAATTCTTGAATGTCAACTCACAATTAAGAACATATAATTCGAATTGAATTTGTTATTGATAGTTTATACTCCAAGTTTGGTTTTCTTCTCTCTTATTTAGACACACAAAAATATGTAATTTTTCTAGAGGTTTATTTTTGCATTACCGAGAGTTTTAACTCCCAAAAAACACGTTTTCCGCGGTTGCAGAAAACCACCGTCACAAAATTACGGACGATTTTTGGTAAAACCACTCCTATTTCCAGGAGTTTCTAGAACCGTCGAAACTAATCATGATACTGAACCGTCCCTATTTTCAGGGGTTTCTGGAAACCGCCGGAACTAAGCGGGGTTTCTTGAAAACCCCGGAAGTAACTGTGTTTGAAAGAAATGCCCTTATTTCCAGAGATTTTATCCAAAACCGCTGGAAATGCTTTTAGATCATTTTTTTGTGTTGAAATTGAATTATGATAAATCTGATTTTAAAATCAATACAATCAAATAATATAATCTAAAATTATTTATATATGTATTCATAATAAAAAGTAATGTTAATAGAAAAATAATTCAAAATTAATTTCAACTAAAAAAATGCTAAACTCTTTTATCAGTTGCATTTCATAACAAAATAAATTTATCACTTTTTAAATTATTTAAAATTGATAAAATTCAATAATTTTTATACAAATGTTAGGTTGGGTTAAAAATAACAATTTTACAAATTCAAAAGTAAAATTTTAAAATAATTTTAAACAATTTAATAACAGTTTAAAATAAATTCTAATGTAAAATTTAAAACAATAAAGTTTAATATCATATATAAATATAAATAAATTAATCTTTAATAAAATTATAAATTTTAATAAAAATATTTGTATAACATTTAACTAAAAATTAAATTTTGTTTAAGTTTATAGAGAAACAAAATTGTTTAATTTTAAAATAAATTAGAAGTAAACTGAGACCATTAATATAATGACACGTG